TAAAGCGTCCGATCTCAAACTCGAGGGTAGCGAGTTTAGGATGCTCACCATTTTCACAAACCATCCGGGTGGAAATCTTGTGCATAAACATAAAACTAGAAAATCTGACGTACTGGGAGAATGAACAGCGACAAAGTATGTCCAAATCAGCTGAACAGACTAAACAGAACTGACCAGGTCTTACTTATAGCTCAGGTTTTTTCTAGGCTTTCTGATGTTTGATTTCTCTTTCTTCCAAACAGTAATAATTTACGATCTCAAAAACCATGATTATGTCTGTAAGCAACTTACCACCCCTGAAAGTTTTTGCTTCCACTTGGGTACTGGGTCCATATCCTTTGACAGTAAATCCAGCCACACGAATGCTGTACCAAATGCCATAATCAAGATCATTTATTTCACACCATGATATTTGGGAGCAAGACGCATTCCTCCAGTTGTTAGGTTCATTTTCCTTTTTGTAAGAAACTTTGTAACCGACAATTCCGTGCCCTCCTTCTTTGGGAACTGGGCCCCAAAGAACAAGAATACTGGTTGAGCCAGTGCTATAAGCGGTCACGTTTGTCGGTGGAAGACTTGGAACTATTCAAGAAAAAAATAAATAGATTCACGAATAAAGAGTTTATTCGGCCAGTACTTAGATATCTCCTTAAAATAGTGCGAGCTGCTCCTAGAAACCCGAATTGACACACAGCTACCATGATTTAAGAAAAACAAAGGTTAACTAATTCTCACCATCTTGGTCTGTCCTAGCGAAAACGGGAATGCTAATCGGGCCCATCTTGTCTCTCTCTGTAAAACCCAGTATTTGAATGCTGTACTGTGTGTACTTGCGAAGACCAGTCAGGATTGTCTGGTTAACGCTCCCATCCTCCAAAGTGACATTCGCTGTAGTGTCATTACCATCCTCGACAGCAAAGTACAGCACAATGTATCCCTTTATTTTTCCATCAACTTGTTCGGGAGGGATTTTGTTCCATGAAACATGAAGACTTGTTGAGCCGTTGTTACATGCAGTGATGGACGTAGGAGCCGTGGTAGGGGCTTAAAAGCAAATACAAGATATCAGTCAAATTAAAAGTCCTTCCGTTTGAGGCAGGCCAGAGAGTGATTAAGACTCTTTAGTCATTGACGTATGTTATAGTGTTATTCGTTCAAAATATTTCGCCGTTTCGATTGGCTTTAATCCTCCAGCTAATTCTTCATAACCAGCTCGCCATGAACAAATTTGGAAAATAATTATGGTATAACATTATTGACGTCAGTCACTCAGACGTCAATGATTTTATATTAAAAATTATCCACGATTGACGTCACCCAAGACAACGGCGTGCATGAGTACAGAACTTCAAGAACATGGCGAAGAGCTCACGGCTATGTGAAGAAGAAAAAGAGGAATTACTGAGGATGCTATCCAACCAGGCCTTCGTCCTCGGTGGATAACACCCTCCTCGATCTTCATAATTCTTCATATCATGCTTAGCCCCATTCAATAACTATTAATTATAATTACCAAGCGCAGCTGTCCATCTGAAAATAGGATTGCTCATTCTTCCTTCACCTTCCAGAGTAAACGTTCTCGCAGTAATCCTATACTCTGTGTAAGCCGTCAGATTCTGTATCTCGTAAAATGAGACATTCATTCTCGCAGTCACATTGCAGTCTATTCCACGTTTAGTATCTCTGTAAAATATCTGAAAACCTTGAAACACGCCATGTAGCAGCTCATCTGGTCCAATCCATGTGACGGTAAGTTCGATTGAGTGTTCTTTAGAGGCGTTTGGAGCCTGGAGGCTAACTGCCATTATGTATACTAAAAAAGAAGAAAAAAAATACAGGCACTAAACGCCTTTAGAATAAACCTATTGACAAAATGTAAAACAATTAATTTATACTTCTTAAAAACAGCTGTATTTCAATTTGAATTACTAACACAAGTCGAAATATTAGGTGCCTAATGACTATAATATTTTTTACTTGTAGTAGTTACACTTTCGTAAGTGTTTGCCATTTTTTAATTTCTTGTATTTTTGGATTTCAAAAACCAGTAAACTTTCACTTTGTTAACGTTTAGCTTGCTTAAAATCTTTGCTGTTGGAACGCTTTTCGTATCTCAAAATAATCGATGAACATTTTTTTTTGCGTCGCGCAAATATAACTTAATAGAGTCATAACAGACGAATTGAACTTACTGTCATTCGCTTCAAGATTGTGAACTTGATATGAGCTTGTTTCCAGCCCGTTTATAATAGGTTCGACCGCAGTGTATCCTGCCTCTATAAATTTAACGGTAAACTCGCAGCCAATGAAACCGTTTGCTTCTGGCCTAAAAATACACCAAAAATTCGTGATTAGTGAAATTTTGAATTGCATATAGGGACCAAAAATTGCACAATTTTCTTCACGAAATATTACTTATGTTGCCATGTATCTTTGCTATCTTATCCGTCTCTCACGGATTAAGCGATTTCAGTATGATGAAAAATGGTGTCCACCAACGTACCAATATTTATGAACAACCACTTCACTGACGCTTCCATTTGCGATGTTTTTAAGCTGCAGAAGGAAACAAAGAAAAATCTTATATGAGTAGTATAGTATGAACTGTGTTATTCTTCTTCTTCTCCTTCTTCTTCTTCTTATTATTATTATTATGATTGAATGGTAGCTCATAAATAAAATGCAACATGAAACTCTTACATTATTTGATAGGTTTTCTGTGAAAGACGTGAAAGCATTTGATTCCCTGTCCAGCATGTCTTCTTTCCAGGGGACACCGGTAAAACCAACGCTCACGTGAAGCTGCAAGTTAGAATCACCTGCAAAAATTTGGAAAAATATAACGGAAGATATACTAAGCTGTTATAGACAAAGCAAGGATTCTCTGAGGACGGACAGAAGGCAAGTTAAGTTGGTACTAATACAGTGGGGAAGAAGGGATGTCACTATTCAAAAAGTTCCACGGAAAGAAAGTTCGTTTCAGCTTCTATATAAACAGTGATATAAAGCACTCCATAAGAGAACACCATTTCGAATGTCCTTTGAATTTCAGTAAAATTAGAGGCCTAAGACAAACAAATTACCTTTATAGTAACTGTAAATATCGATTATTTCCTCTTTGGTTACAGATCTGTACCAGATAACTATGTCGTCAAAAGCTGCCACAGGAAGTCCTCTACCTGAATCGTCCTCTCCAATGGAAATTGCCGTAAAATTATCCTGGTCAAAATTACCATCGTAACACTCCTTAGAAGTAAACTTCATCACCTCTTCACCATTTATAAACACTTCTATGCTATTCAGGCTGTCAAAGGTTTTGTACGTTAGTACGTAATGTGTCCATACTTCCTTTGGTATCGGAAATGTAACGACGCATTTTTTGTTGGTACTAGAGACTTCAAACGCCACCTAGAAAAGATAATAAAGGAAATATTTGCCTGCAAATAGAATTTTTATGCTTCTTCCCATTGTGTACTTTTTATTTCTTTGGGGGCCTGGGACTTTGGGTGGCATTTATTTGGATTATAGCCAATACCCTTTAGGATACTTGTGCTTGCCAAGTGACCAGGCTTCCATGTGAGCGTCACTTCGTTTCATCTTGACGGTGGTACCTATGTCTTTTAACATTTTGGTCAAATCCAAGAAATTTGTGATGTCGTGTTTTCTTGTAATGGTCAATACAAAGGGTGTGTAAGAACACCTATATTTGGAATTCGGTTAACCGAACGTCCATGTTATTGGTTGTGGTGCAGTTTGTGTGCTGTGACGTCATGTACTATAGTTGCCAAGATGGCAGCGATTTTGAAAGTCTTAAAAAAGAGTGCTTAAACTTAACATTTTTTTATGTGTAAGAATTATGATAAAGCAACGCGATATTAAAGTCGACACTATGTGCCAAATCGGCAGACGATCGTAACCAAAGCTTCTAGCAACATCTACAAAAAACCTACCGAAAAACTCTCAGCCCTGTGTTTTTATAATACGGTTTTGTTAAAAAAATAATGAGCGGCCATACCTGAGGACTGTTACTGTCAACTTGGTACATTCTATGACCTGTTCGGTTATTTCCACTGGATGTGAGAAATAGTTGTCCCTCGCCTGAATCCTTAATTTTGTACCACAGCCAGAGCATCAATGTGAACCCACTGTTACATAAAGAAGCATCGAAAACGCAACTTTTAAGGAGATTCTCGCTCAGTGTGAACGCGCCACATGCTCCATATCCAACATACACTGCCTTGCCTCTTATGCCTCTGATGGTGCTCGTGCCGTTTGCGGCGTGACCCCAGTCAAAACTCATAAGGTTCTTAATATCTTCATGATTATCCATCGTCCAATGGAATGCGGCAGATTTTTTGATACTGTCAATTGCGGAAAGACCTAAAAATAAAATAAAGGAAAGGTGCAACTGTCAACAAACAACCCAATAAAAGAAGAAGCTCATTAATTGGTTAGAAAGTTGTAAAACGTGAAAACTTCGCCAACAAATTTGCTTGGTGTAACATTCCTTACATTTATAACAGTCCATCTGCTGAATATACCAAGTTCATTGCCACGGAAAAGGACGGACTGCTGTCGGTCGATTCTCCCTTTCATGTACTCATGCGTATAGCCTTCAATCCCAGACAAAAGTAGTTGGGAAGGCTGCACGACGTAACAGTAGTCCATTTTAATGTTGGGATATGACAGGACAATTACGCGCACAAACATTAACGTTTTGCTCAACATTGGGCCAGGGGCGGGGGAAGGAAGGAAAAAAGAGGTAAAAAAAGGAGCCTTCCCAACACTTTTGACGATGATTGTAGTTTTTAGCCGAAACATCAACCAATGATTAAGAGTGGACAAAGCTGCCATTAAGGGAAACGCGGGTCAGTAGAATACATGTTAAAAATCAGGTTCACTAATACTGAACTAATACTGTTGTTAACGTGGTTAAACCATTCAAACGGGCATTTCTATTAGACAGGCGGATGGTTCAAAGACATAATGACTTATACTATCTAACGTTGCAAAATACCTTGTAAAAACCCGTAGAGCTCCACTCTCATTGAAATGTGATTATTCCAGGCAGTTGGAAGAAAACGAATATAACGGGCCCTGATTTCTGGGAGAAGTTCATGGGTAACGACCGTGTCGTCGTCTGTGTTTCCAGCAAATTCCTAAGACAGAAAATAGGGCGTGTCATATGGGAATTTGCAACCTACCTAGAAGATTATGTACCCGGGTAGGTTAATTGTGATACACAGAAGCCTGTTATCTCCCTTTATCTCTTAAAATATGGCTAAGATTCACCGCTAAAAGGGGTAATGAAATGGAGCATTTCGTTTACAAATGTGTTTTAAAAGGCACATCATTACAAAAAGGTCACTTTGTGTACCCCACAGTAGGTTTGTGTTGCGTACGTAGGTAAGGTCTGCATTAAAGCCAAGTCGCCTGTCAGGCCGTGCTTATCCTGTGTCCATAGCATGAAGTAACTAGGAGTATTTCTACTCCTCCCCGGACAGGATCTTGACGCCACTATCGCAGGGTTACCTCCGGCATTAAATTTGCCGGTACCCAGTTATTGGTGAAATCAAACCATTGTCCAAGTGAAGTGTCTTCCCAAATATACATTATAATGACCCCGGCCAGGGATCGAACCCCCAACTCCTCGATCAAGAGTCCAGCGCACAAAATATTAAGCCACTACCCATAGTCCAGCAGGTTTATAGACAAAACTGTTGTCATGTCGTATTCACGAAGGGTTTAGAATAACATGACGGTATCTCGTTGATATGACCAGAACTTTGCGCCTTTTCGCAGAGGTTAAAGAGCGATCGGGATCTCACATTAAAGATCCACATAGTAGACTTGGCGCGACGACTCAAATCAGCATACTATTTCTTAACGGACGCCGCTATTCTATCAATCAAAAGCCTTCTTAACCCTTTCACCAAAAATTATGGCCAAACAAAACCAAGAAAGTAAACTTTCTGTCGAAATAATCCTAAGAAATACTTAGCGCTATGCAAAAGTTATGCCGGAAAGGTTTCATTTGAATGGTAACACCATAGGATTTCGTCAACAGAGTTAATTAATCTTGCCATAACTTGCTCTAGGATAGGAATGGTTAAGCGAACACCAAGATTTGGTTTAACTCCCCCAGTTTTCTAGTCCTTTTCTTTGACACTCTGTTTGGGGGGACCTCTGTAAGAAGAGCACTTAATATTAGTCCTCATGTTATCCCTCTTGGTGGAAGTTGGCTGAAAGTATGCTTACTTACGTTGGTTTGCCTGTGTCTCTTGTAATCCTGAAAATTCACACTGTCGTAACTAAACTGCAGCGTGTACTTTGTGACCCATTGACTAAACTGCTGAGCACTGTCCCTGCCTTGTGTTGCAACTCGCGTTACAATAGCGTAATCACTACCAACATCAACCTGAAGCCACTGGTTGACGTCACTTGTGCGAGCGCTCCAAGATGCTGATAAATGCGGAGCTCCTTTAAAGTGTAACCTGCCTTGAAAGGCCGCATGGTTCCCATCGTATTCTGATGAAGCAGTGATTTGTTCATTGGAAATTTGGTAGTTTTGCATTCCGAGAGCGTCTGTACACCCTGCAGGTAGTTGAAAGGTATAATCAGTCAAAACAATTCTTGATGGAAAAGGGCCATGAACAAGGCAGGTTTGGTTTGGGATGAGCTGGGTATGCGTATGCGCATGCTTGGTTTCCGGTTTAGGTGATGGCTTCCACCTGCAGAATACCCCGATAACCCCCGCCGCACGCGATAAAAAGCCTCTGGTTCCCAGGAAAGATTGGTCGAGAAAGTGCGCGGGATTTCTCAGCAAATTATATTTCAATGCAATTGAAACATCGGATGGTAAGTCAGGGCAGTGTTCCTGAGGGTCGTTTTGTTTTGTTTTACTGTAATTCAAAAAGAGCTAAAACTCTATTATTTTCAGCAGTAGCATTTCGCGATGGCATGAATTACACTTCTCTAGCTATTTTTGGTATTTACGAGCAAAACAAAACTGGCACAAACAACAAAAACATACAACTTAGTTACCTTCATGGTATCCATACAACTCCACTCTCATTGAGATGTGTATATGCCAAGTTACTGGGTGAAAACGGATTAAGCGGGTCCAGACTGGAGATTGAAGGTCATGGTAAACAACCGAGTCCCTATCCGTATTTCCATCAAATTCCTAAAGAGTAAAAAACATAGCCTAGATATATTCTTTTAAGGCAACAATTAAGGAATTACGACGGATTTTTCAATTTTTCAATTACATGCAGAGACGACGGCGCGCGAAGATCTAAAAACCGACTTGAACTTGTCGTCGTTACTTAAGCCCCCTACTACCTTTATTTTTTACCTTTATTTGTCCTTGTTCCTCGTAATACTGGAAGTCTTTACGATCTTCGCTGAATGAAAGTTTGTACTTTGTCACCCACTGGTCTATAAAGTTTCGTCCTTGAGTGGCGACACCTGTAACCCTTGTGTAACGACCATAGAAATCAACCTGAAGCCACTGATGTTCGTCCCGATATAAAGATGACCAAGCTCCTCTGTATGGTATATTTACCTTAATCAAACAAAATAAACACAGATTTACTCCATTAAAAGCCTCCGCGTTTTATTAATTGTGAGCGTTTCCGATGTGGCGATTTTTCAAAGGCGGTGTTAAATTTCAAAATCACACGACCAGAGAAGCCACAGAAGGAACTTTACTTCCTTCTGTGGCGCAGGCGCATGAATGGAGCGTTGAATTAACCTATCCCTCCTAACTTCCCGCAAATGACATGAAAACAGCAACAACAACAACAACAACAACAACAACATTTTAAGATCCCAGTTTTATCAGCAATGGTAGACGAAGAACCACAATCTAGCGGAATACCTTAATTTAATTATATTAATCAACTAGTTAATTAATATTTTCAATTACATTATTACCGGTAGTTTCAATCTTGCTCTACTGGCAGCGTGATAAAGGTCCCATTCTGAGGAGGCGCTTATTTGCTGGTTAGCGATTGCACCACTTTCCATCCCCAGGGCTCGAATTTGTTGACATTCCAGTGGGCTTACTAGATACATAAGTAGATTTAGAACACATCACTGTTTACAAACATTATTTTTGTTATTCAAATTTCTAACGATTGAAACAAACGAATCTTTTTGTTTCAAGAACTAATGAGGTTCTAGTTGGTTTTATTGGTTTCCTTGGTTTCCCATGCCTCTTCTTTATGAATTTAACGTATTTTAATTTAAATGGCAGAATGATAACAAAATAAATTAATAAACATTTTAAATATTAATAGATGACGTTAGCTTGAGTATCGCTATATCATAACAGACCTGGCCATTCAATCAGTTAGTGATTCTCCATAACACGCAGCTCCATTGTTTTAGGTATAGAGTCATTGATATTTTTCTATGTCCGTTGTTTTCAGAGCCAATACTGTGAGGGCTCGTAAAGAGCTGCGTGGCGCCCCCATTCGATGCCATACGAAACCATACCATACAATGCCACACCATATGATACCAGACCACACCGCACAGCTCCACACCGGATCAGAGCAGACCATACTATACCATACCATAGTTCTGTAGTGTCACGCAACCTAGCAGTTTTGTTGTCCGGTTCGTCCGGTTGGTATACATTAATAGTTATCCAAACATGTTTCGGACCTAAACTCATGGAAGCCGAAACATCATACCTTGTCTGCTATTTCTTTCGTCTCTCATATTAAACTTTTTTCTCCACTACTTGCCTTATTGTTTAATCACAGGCCTCACAATGGGAAGTTATTAAAACGGGGAATGGGGAACGGGGAACGGGGAACGGGGAACGGGAAAATAAAAAATGGGAACAATACAGAGAATATGAAATAACATTACTGATGGGGCTAGAGTTCGAGTTAGTTTTTGTTCCCATTCGTCATTTTCCAGTTTCCCTTCCATTGTGCTGGTTAGCGATACAAATGCCTTGTAAGAATTCTAGCTACTTAACATAACTCCTTCTAAATACCATGCTTGTACCCTAATCTACAGGTCACCAATACTGAATACAAACAAAACAAAAAGACTATCATACTTCGTAGGCACCATTCTTCGTCGCGACGGTTTGAATCGCAAATGCATTGTCCCGTAATTTCATCACAGTATTGTCCTTCAAAACACGAAGGCTCACAGACAGAATCTGAAGAAAGAAAGAGATCAATAAAGCTGAGTATTGATGATCACTTAGTTTCCTGTTTGCTTGTGCGGGTAAACCCTCCATAGATTTGTTACGTTTAAGGTCAAGTAATCATCTTGACAAATACGATCCAAGGAGAATGCCGGACTTGCTAAACTGCATTGTTACTGATGTAACAATTTCATTCAACTGTAAATGATGATTATCTGCAGATTACAAAAACCAAAGGATTGCCAAAGATCCCTCTCTCCCCACCGAAAAAAGGCTTGAAAATTATAAACGTTAATTCAACCGTCCCTTCTTGTTTACCCTTCCTCTTGGGACCATGCATCTTCCCTTTTTCTCTTTACTTTGCCCTTACAGGAAGTCAAATAATTTATCAAACACGAGCGACGATGTTTTATTACATATATCGAAAATGTGCCAAACGTTACTTTTAGGCGTGTAATGTAATGAAACACTTTGAAGAAAATTTTGCAAAACCGAGTCTAAGGGGTAAATGAATCAAATGGGCAAACCCCGCCCCACTTATACGTCTAATTTCTTCGAACGGGAGAAGTATCATCTGACTCCGTGTTTAATGATACAGTTTGTTCTGGAGAATGAAACAACGGAATGACGAAAATTGTCATGAACTGATTTTTTGAGCTTTTTTAATATATGAAAGGAAATGAAGAGTCGTGGATGAGAGGACAACAGACGTGCCCTCTTACAATTCATTTTAACATGTGAACAGTAAGCTCGCACGTCAGCATACAAAGGCGCCACTGGCAGCCGCTCTAAGTCCATTTGTGAGCTTACTGTACCCACACAGCCCATGATGTGAATGACGTGATCTGTGAAGGTTGACCACAACACCGGGGTCTACGTCCCCTAGTCTTTTCGAAAAGTGATGTGGGTTCTTTTACGTCCCACAAGAACCAGATAAGTGTAAGTGCTGTGAGACGGGACCTACGGTTTTTCGTCCTTATCCGAGAAGACTAGAAAGTCTAACCGTTTGCAGATGTCATTACAAAGGCAGCACTTTCTTCTCACTTATTTAAAGACCCTGAGTGTTGGCCCGGCCGGGGATCGAACCCGTGACCTCCCGCTCAGTAGACCGGCACTCTCTCAACTGAGCTAACCAGGCGGCGGTTAGGGAACAAGAAGACAAGGCAAGAAATAGCTCACCCTCAAGAACCAGAACTTCCAAGCCATCTGCTTGAAAATGAGTCTCTCCCGTAAAGAACTTGTCCGGTTCAGAGGCACTAGGAACTTGGTAAACATTTCCAACATCACTCACGATACTTCGATTGTCCAAATTAACTGTCAGATCATTTATCCCGAAGCTGAGCCTGTTATAACTATCTAATGTAACAGCAAGATGTCTATGTAAGGGCTTAATATCCAGACGAGAGGTTGACAAGTTTAGGTAGAAACTGCGTAGACTGAAAAGGAAAGCTTTCATGCTTGACAAACTGTTTATGCCGGAAGCTCCTGCAAACACACAAGAAAAAGGACTGTTAGGGGTCTCCAAACTGGATGATTCGGTATCGCTGAAGTTGTCTCAGTGTGTTAAGGATGTTAACGAGGAATAATCAAACAGACTCGCGAAGGTTCGATTCCTTTCTAAACGTCGCCTACAGATTGAGAATCAAATCGAGCGGTTCCTATCGAGTGCTAAGCAGGCAACGAATCAGCTAGCTTGAGAAAACAGCCGACATTTCGCGACGCCACCAATGGCTCCCTGCGAAATGACGTCTGGGAAACGAGCGCAGAAATTCCATACTGATGACTTTGATTGAAAATTTGCTTCAGCCAATCAGAAGCACTGCCTAGATCTGGTTAGTAACACGTCATCAGTACGGAATTTCTGCGCGACGTAACAAAATGTCGGTTGTTTTCTCAGGCTGCCAATCAACATCACCTTGGTTCCACATGAGGTCGGAAAATCCCCCGAAAACGAAAGAGTTCTTCCGCACTAGTGTGAATGATGGTCTCTTGTTGTCACAGCGTTCATGGAAGGCCTTACTACTCCATTCATGTTCTTCAGCACGATAACAAGGGACCAGGCGAAAGGTAGAGAATCCGGCTTGTATTAACCAGTCGTTCAACGTGACTCGGTAGTTCTTTATGTGCCCTATCATTCCTGATTTGATAACTGAAGTAAGAGAAATCGTAATAGTATTTGCCAAATGCACCTTTCCATTGTTTTGAACAGGTCATTATTTTCAACAAATAGAAGAGCACTTAAAAAATAATGACCTGTTGTTCAAGCTCAGTTAACACAATGGTGGCAGATTCCAAACAATGGATTACGCCCTCGGTCCTCACTTTTACATGACACACCTTTCCATTGTTTAGAGCACGTCAACATTTTCAGTAAATGGAAGAGCAGGCCAATGGCGTGGAAATATAATGACGTACTGTTATACTTCCGTGATCACAAAGGTGAACTGCCTGCCTCCTCAGTTCTAAGACGATGAAAAGGCGCATTAAATTAGATACCAGCTTCGCACCTTGGCCGACTTAGCAATAATGACCAAGCGCGTAGCGCTCAGCCATTATTACTCGTGGGCTTTATTTGACAAGATTAGCAATAATTATTTAGCGCGAGGAAGTATAAACGAACTTGAATTCACTTTCGCTGCCGTCTTAACAAAGTTGCTAAATCTCTACTTACCATTAGCATTTAATTGAGCTTCTTTCGGCATAAAGGTGCAACTTTCATTAACGCTTAAAATAGCGTCGCTGATGGCAATATCACCGTGCGAACCGCCAACTACTCCCTCCGTAATAACCTTGGAAAGAAAGTGACACAAACAGAGAATGAACAAAACTCGAAAAGTGTTTTTTTAACAAAACGCCTTCACGAACGCCTTATACTAACGAGGTTTGCCATAACGAAAAATCTTGTCTTGGTTTGCAACCATGCGACAAAGCGGCCATGTTGATCGTCAAGACAATACATTTGTTTAAAGGATTTCTTTTATTATTTGCCTTACGACAGTCACTAAGTTGTTGGAAGCGATGATTCGACTGCGTGCGGTTTTCATCAGGCCATAGCGCTGATTTACTACCAATTAGTAAATCGACGCTACCGCCAGATGAAGATCTGTAGTACGCGGTCAAAACGTCGAGATCAATAAATGACTATGTTGAGACAAACAATAAAGTAAACCTTTTAAACACATACCACGATGAATAATATCTTTTATGACAAAACATTTGTTTTTCTAGAAATAGAAAAAAGAAAGTAAAATTCCCAGCAGCGAGAAACGATGATGATCTTGATCATCAAAATGGCGCCCGCCATGATGACGTCACGTACAAGCCAGGCATATATTAGTAGTTACCTCATATGCATAATTATGATAAATAGGAATCTCTGCCTTGTTCCAAATATTTTCAAAGGGACCAGCAAGTCGCCAAAGGAGTACTTCTTCGTTATCCTTGCTACTTCGCAAAAGCACATTGAGTCTTCCTGTCGTGTTCCCGTACATATGGTACCAGAAAGAGAAACAATTTCTCGTGGGCACTGTAACACGGCTAAAGAAGCGTGCTTTTTCACCTTTTTCATGTGGAAATGACGACTCGACATAAATGAAGTCATTGATTTCTAAGAGAAAGTTTGTTGGAAAATGGAGAAAAAAAGAAAAAAAGAAAATGTCAGTACATATCAGTGTGCTGCTGGTTAGAGTATGATTTTCTTCAGTAATCTGTTTTTGGACAGATTTTAAATCGTTTTCATTGACGTGTTCAACCGCTAAGCAAATTTCGTGAAACCAAAGAACGTTTTTACGTTTAATCCCAATTTGAGGATCTTTTTGGTCGACCAACATTGCTGAACAATGTGGCTGCCGTGACGTCACGTGAAAAGGATCTTTACAATTTTAAAGAGATCTTGTCTTAAACAGAGATATTATTTTATTGAAGTATTAAGCCAAGCCAGAGAGTATTATGTCCATTTATATTAGCAGGGTTTTAAACAGAGGTTTTTGGCCTGCACAGGTTGGGCATCTCTCGTGTGCACCAAGCGCTCGCACAGAGCACCATAGGTAAGAAAGTTTTTTCCTGACAATATTGTCCATTCGTACGTTCTCCCCTTCATGTAGAAAGAAATCTTCCTGAGCCAACCAATCTGGTCTCAGAAATTCCGTAACGTAATAAATCTATCTAATGAGCACGATAGATGCTGACTCACTTCCATGACAAGATCCTGTATCGTTGGTCGGTGTACAGTTTGTTTGTAAATGCCATTTGAAATAACCTGCATCTGTTTTTTCTAGATTCCCGATTCGGTTGACACCTGCAATTGTCACAGCATCGTTAGATCGACCTTACAGCTATTGTTTTCATTTATTACTTTATTTATTTATTCGTTCATTTACTCTCTTTACATTCATTTTTCCAGCCCTCATTACTCCCTCCCTCCTATTTATCCACTTCTTCATTTTAATCATTCATTCGTTTTTTTCCTTGGTTGACTGTTCATCTATCTATCGATCTGTCATTCACTATCCATCCGTTCATTACCTGTCGATACGAATTGCGAGGGATTCATATGAACTTTTTTTTTTCCTGCAGCTTTATTTATGAACTTCCAACGCCCACATATTCCGCGTGTCTCCCTCGCACCCATTTATTCCTAGCGAGCTTCAAAAAATAGTATTCAAACGCGGACTTACCTAAGTTCTCAATAAAAATCGTCCCGAAACCTAAAAAAAAAAGAAAACAAAGCCCAAAACCAAAAAAATAGCTAACTTACCAAACTGTTCGGCGTCAAAGTTACTCAAAGACGATAACGCAGAACATAATAAGCAAGAACGTCCAAAGACAAGACGGAGGGAGTCGTGAGCGACATTACCAATTTAATGGTTACTTTTTTGTTTCATTTGTTCATGCAATGACTGATTTACTGGTAACGGAGTCATCTTTCCAATATTTTAAAGGTATCTATCCGTGGCAATACTTTGTTAATAAATTACCTGCTAAGTTTAGCTTCTCTTTCACTGCTGCCTCGGTCAGAAAGTTATACCAAACCTCGAGGTCCGACATTTGAAGTGTATACTGTTTATGTATGAGATTGTACGATGGCGCCTTGCCAATAAGTACGTGGTGATGGTGGTTCTGAACGTTGATAATGTCAAACGTTTCTTGCTTTTTTACCAGTTTTCCATTTTCAAAGTATTTTAGTCCCCAGATTGGGTCCCAGGTTATGAACACGTGACGCCAACCGCGCGGGATAACCGGTTCACGGTTGATGTCCATTTTCCACTTCCTCTTTGTGGTACTCAATTCCAATTGATATGAAGTCTTGTTCTGCAAAATGTTCGATTGATAATGCAGGGAAAACCCTTCTCTTGATGGCTTTCCTTCCGATGATATTATAAAGCCAGCATGTTTGCCTTCTTCATCTAAAATAAATGCAACAAAAGGGAATTCCTTAGTTGACAAAATCTAGGGAAAATGGGTACAAGGTTTGGGTGAAGTGATTTTTAGGACCGTTTGGGCGGACAAGCGTTAGTTCTGATTGGTCGATGGTATTCAAGGCAACCATTTAACAATTAGTTCATGCTCCAATATCTCGACATACGCACAGCTGGAGCATGAACTAATTGTTTTATAACATTATCAAAGTGATAAATGCAGCAGTTAATTTAAAATTTTATTATTGTAGGGCGCGCTCGCGGAGATGACAACAACAAGAACAACACTCACCTCTTTTCCTTACTATCGGTTAGCAAATTAATTCAAACGTTTCCTCTTACTGTAAATTTTCTTATAAAACACATGGTAAACGCTTCATTGTGTACTGTTGAGTTATGGATGCACTCAGGAGACTCAGGATTGCTAGGCTCACATTAACAACCCGAGGAATTACGAATAGTTTATTGACGTCATCAGCGTGCTCAATAGGAATATGAAGCACGCTCGCGCTATTGAATTTGATTAAACGAATTTTCTAGCTATGTTATAATAACCAATCACAAGTCTCGCTTGTGCAACTACACGATCCCAGAAATCGTTGCGTCGTAAGCTTGTGCCCATTCCCAGTGGACAATTAAGGATGGTCTCAATAGACTGCTCATTCCTCGGATTTTTCATGCGAGGGCGTTTGAGAAAAAAACATGAATTTTGCTTAGTTATCTTACTTGAATCTACGGTAAAAAAAATACTAAGAAATGTCCCGAATGCGATATTCATTATTCGTGGCTAGAAAATGCGTCCAGAAATGACCAATATTTACTTATTTTTCTTTGTAATTGTTGTTGTTGTTGTCGAACATATGACATTATTGTTTTTGTCGTATTAAACACGTCATTTTGCTCGCGCACAGCTACGTTCCCCTTTAACTAACAAAAGCCTTTATTCTAGCACGCTCGACTTGTCAAATATAGAAGAATTTTCCAGGAGTTAAATTCTCACGGAACACATTTAAGTTGAAAAAGGGTAAACGAAATTCATGCTCGTGCGTGTTTACGTCCTCTGTAAGACGCCACATATGTAGACTATATAGCGGGAATTTTTTTCCTAACAGCGCGCGATCGTATTGGTTACTTCGAGGTCACATGACATCTAATAATGCAACTGTTTCCCGCCAAAATCTCTGAGCAGGCAACATGTCAAACTCTATGACGTTAGAGGGTGACAGGAGAAACAGTTAATTTTGTTTCCTTTGAATCTCAATGTGAGATTCCCGGGAAGCAAAATTAACTGTTTTCCAAGAGACCAGTCATAGAGTGTTTAATAAAGGGTGGGCACTTACCAACTATAAGCGGAATCACTCCCACCCTGAGACAGCAGATGCTGTTACACTCGTGGGGAATAAGTTTCAGATACTTTGCTCTAATTGGTGGAAGCATCTCATGTGTAACCCATGTATTAGCATCCCAGTTGCTCGATAGTAGCTGAAATGAAATTGTAATATGTAGATTTAGCCAGGGCAAAAACGGTCTCTTTTCCTGTCTTTCTCAAGTATTAAAACTTTCGCTACAAGAAACTGAATTCCTCCTGAAAAACATGGATCTCAGCCTGCAATCAATAGAAAACCAATAACTGATCAGCAGAGCACTTTAAAAACACGTCACCTCAATGATTTGCACATTCTAGCCTGCGATACAGTCATGTGATACTGGTCAGTTGGTGCCCTGTTTTGACAGCTGTCAATTGACCATAAAATGGAGGTCCAATCGCAACTTAAACACCGATTGAATGCCTTGGATTCCAAGTTCTTAAGAGTGGAAATTCAAATCCGCTTGCGGACGTATGGATAATATTACCACAACCGAATTCCAATTTTTTTTCCTACTGTGCTCCGACTGTTTGAGAATGGCTGGTCCAAAATACGTTATTGCAAAACTGACTCGCCAGGAGCTGAAAGCAAACTGAAATTAGGTGATTCGCAATTAACCAACATTTAATACCAAAAGAAAGCCAGATTTAAACGTAGACGCTGCTAGTGGGTAAAATATTTGTTAACGGCTGTGCTGATGCGGCTGGTCGTACTCAAGCTAAACTTATGTTTTAGGCTTTCATCCATGGAAGAATTGTATTTAACAAGTAATCTAGTAAAGTAAACTGGCGAAAGGAAAAATGAACAAACAAAACATTAACAGAAGTAACAACAGCATACAAACAAAGCTCACATCAAAACCATTCATGACAAAAATCTTAACCTGTCTCACTCCCCCTTGAGTGTAATTCTCCCATGTAATGCCATCGAGGCTGTGCTCCAAGTAAAACGACGCCACAAAATGCCCACGACTACACCCTTTAGTTCTTATTTGCGCAACAAAATAAGCAGCATCTAATTTGAGCTGAAGAAATGTAAAAAGCCCCTGTCCACACCATGCGGCGTGGCACTTTGAGCTCGGGTTGGATTTTGCAAACTCAGCAGGGCTCATACATTCCCACGAAGACGCTGTGAAGCTGCTGCTCGGAATGATGGAGGAGTTGTCGATCCCAAGGTCTGAGAAAAAAAAGACGCTCTAAGGTTCATGGTTGAAAAATTTGATGAAACTTTTTATATAAAATGACAACATCCAAAATCCTGCCGTTTCATCTAAGACAAAAATTATAAACATTAATAGCAACTACAAACACAAAAGCGACTTCAGGTTTCCCGATATTTCGAACGGACAAGCCGTCGATCCTTCTTCAGGGCATTTAATGAAGAAACGGAAAGTCGTTACAATTCAAATAATATGGACGAGTTGCAAAAAAAAAAAAAAAATAGAAAATTAGATGTCTAGATGCGTGCTAGATTCGAAAGTAGGATCAGTTTTAATTTTCTAACTACATATTGTAAGTATTTGTAAGATAATTGCGTTGACTTAAGTGAGTTTTTTTCTGTTCTAGGTTTTTATTGCATATTGTCAAAATGCTGCTATAATACTGTTTTAATACTCTCTACAAATTCCACGAGCGAGTAGTATGAAGCGAAACTTACTACCCGAGGGGACATGATCGGCCTATCACGCTCGTTAGGGAGTTCCCGCGTTGGTCCTGCAAGATACCATACATGACAACTATGGGCTCTTAATATATATATATATATAACAATAAAAACAAGTTATTTTCTTTACCTGTGAATCCACCACTACCATTGTCTTTGAAAACGTTGACTCGAAAACAGATATCGTTCTTCCACGACAAGGGACGTATTCGGATATGTCTGGTAGACGAAATGTTTACCATGGCTGAGGAATTCCAGTAAAATATCTAGAACAATTGACTCATGCATCAGATAACACAGGAAAGGTTAAAAGTTGTGATTTACACTAAATATGAATCAACGAATTCATTGTGTGGGGTCAAAATATGTCATGGATTATTACACTCTTAATAATCCCCTGTTTTTCCATAAGATTGACAAGATCGAGGGCTTACTATAACGGGCGGCCAGATCAGTTTTAAATGTAACGTGCCTAACCTTCAGGGGAACGAAATCTGAAAGGTGGGAGACTCTAAGTAGGAGAAAGGATGACTAAGAATACAGAGTTATAGCGGAGCTCTGGCGGGCGCGTAGCGAGGGAAGCGTAGCACCATGAAAGAATAAATAGTAACCTATGGAGGCGGGAAATTTTGGTAAGCATGTGACCGTCCGTACGTCCGTACGTCCATCCGTCTACCTACTACAACTAAGCCAATGTCAAATATCACATTATTTACTAACAGCACTATACTATACATGGAAAATGACAATAGCCTGTTAGTTATATACGTCATCCATAAGAAGATGAATAGACAGCTATCAAAGCAGAGTCTTTTTTCCGATTAAATACACTGACGTGGATAACAGAGAAAGAGCTACAACAAGAGATAAAAACAAAGGAGACGATTTAGTTGGAAAGAAAACATGAAAATTTTATAGCGGCGGTGAGGAAATGAGAAACGCTAGCAGCAACCAAGGCGGAAATGAGAGGCAATGAGAAAAAATGCAAACAGAAAGACATAG